ATGCCATTTCCTGCATTCTGAGCATCCAAATTTGCTCTAAAATTTATGCTAACTATACTTGTATTTGAAATAAAAGATGGAAAAATGCACAAAAAGTAGAAAAGAATATTAACTGTAATTTATCATTACTTTTTAGAGGGCTAATCCCAAGAAAACTTTTGAAATTTGAAACCGTGAAATGCTATTTTCTGCATTCTGAGCATCAAAAAAAAAAAAAAATATTAATAATTTATCATGGCTTAGTGGTAAAAAAAGTAACAATTTAAATCGTTTATCTATTTGTTAATCCGTTTATTTTATTTGTTAATCTTCGCTGGATTGTTTGTATACTTTTAGGAAAAAGGGACTTTTCCTGGGGGGGGGGCAAAATGTGATTTCGTGGGGGGCACAAGGGGAGACTGGGGGGGGCAAATGCCCCCCCCCCCCCCCCCAGCTTGTATGTTAAAAAAGGCCCTGGAGCAGGTATAGAGAACGCACTGTCAATTTTTTGGAGTTGATTCAAATATAAAAGAGTGATTTTGTCGCCGTTTTTGGAATTGATTCAACACTTTTGGAATTGATCCAACCCCTTGAAATTTATATTGTGGTTGCGTTCATATGCTCAGCTAATCATGCACGAACAATTTAATTTGGAGCTATATATTTATTCTCTAGGCCACTGATACACTATCTACAGTTAATTTATTCATGAAATCATTATTAACTTGAATTAATTAATAACTTGGCAAATGGGTATCGTAATGAAGTGAAGCTAACGCACTGTCTTCGATTGGCGAATTTAAATAAAAAGACCATTCCATGACAGTGATTTGGCTTCAGGTTGAAGCATCTTCATACTTTATAGAAAGGTATTTCGCGTGTTAAATCTTCGTTTTTCTATTTTAAGAAAAGACATCATCCAATTCATTCGCGTGTTGAATTATAGACTTTACTCGTTTCTCCAAGCGAGGAAAAGTCACACTAGTTCGGCTGGTGGGACCAATTTAGTTGTCACGATTCCTCCCGACTTAACCCTATCCGACTCTGAGAGATCTATCCTGGTAGAAGGTCTAAATTTTGTTCCCCGCCCTTGGTCCTTTGATTTTTTTTTACTTAAAACAGATACCGAATCTTTTCCAAACGACTGCGTCTGAAAGCACATTTTCACAATTAATCCTCGGTCCCTCACATGGACGTTTTTGAGACCGTCAATGCTAAGAATCTTCCTGGTCTCCTTCAGAGGACCAATGTGGTTCCCTTGAACTATTTATGATATAAAACATGCAGCTCCCCAAGTTTAGGCCCAAAACACCACCAAACCTCACTGACATTGAATTTAGTGCCCTTCAATCACTTCGTGCTCCGGATGACATTGTTATCAAACCTGCTGATAATCGGGGGGTGCCTTGGTAGTTTGCAAGGCCGATTTATATCGTACTGAAGCCCACCGGAAATAGGATGACACCACTTTTAAAGCATGGTTGACAAGGACTTGACTTCCACTCATCAAACCACCATTTCTATAAGACCATTCATAGCTTTATCGCCACTTACCAGTGATCTCCCTGAGACTGCCAAAAAACATCCACCACACCTCACACACCTGTCATGAACTTCTTTCTAAAAATTCACAAACCTGACAACATAGCTCGATTTTTATTCCTAGCGCATTGGTACTCCTTAGTTTTTAAAATGAATTACACGAAGCCCTGGTTTCTGAAAGGCGGAATTCATTCAATAACCTGAAACTACGACGATGGCATACACAAACACTAGAATCAACTTCAACATTCCTTAGTCCTATAATTCTTTATTTCAAAACAAGTCAGACGTATACCCACATACCGTGCTTTAAGTACGACAGGATTCGTGCAAAACTTGAAAGGCCTTGAATGTCCTTGAATTTGTTAAGAAATACTTGAAAGTTTTTTTTCTGTGTTGGTGTAATGTACTCAGGTGAATATGATATATTTGTGGTGTTACTCTGAGTGTATATCCACACCGGGCGAACTTGAAAAATATGCCCGGCCACGGTGGGATTCGAACCTACGACCTTTGGAATACTAGCCCAAGCTCGCCCGGTGTGGATATGCACTCAGGGTAACATCGCAAACATATTATTCACCTGAGTACACAACACCAACACAGAAAAATTCATATTACTAGAACACATTGGTATTGAAGGAACTAGATACTGTTCCGAAACATCACTTACTCGAACCGTCCTGACCGCGTAGCTCAGTTGGAAGAGC